TATTGGGGACCGAAAAAAGGGACCCTCTTCCAGAGAACTACCCACGACTTTAGGGCTTCAGAATTTAGGGCTGTGGGGTTCCTTTAAGGGTTTAACAGGGTTCCTTTTTAGGGTTTTGGGGTTCAGGGTTCAGGAGTTTAGAGTTTAGGGTTTTAGGGTTCAGGATTTAGGAGTTTAGGGTTTAGGGTTCCGGGTGAGGGCTTCAGGGTTTACCTACATTGGGTTTGAGGCTTAAGGGCTTAGAGTTCGGGGCTTTAGGGCTTAAGAGTTTCAGAGTTTACCTTTATTGGCTTTAGGGTTGAGGGTTTAAGAGTGTAGCAGGGCTCCGATACCCACTACTTACTTTCGTTGCCTAAACGGCCTCCAGCACAGTATCTGGTTGAAGCGAAGGGGAAATAAGACGGAGAACCCTGTTCGAAAGATAATCTTGCCGTGTCAGGCAAGTTTCCTTTGTTGACTGGCCGTTGCGAGGCCCCAGTGCCTCCTGTCAGTGGCTCTGTGCCTATGGGCGGTATGAGTAGTGTCTTAAGGGTTCCATGCTGGTTTGCGTTCTACGTGAAACAGGAGTCTCTGGAATTTCTGGGGTCTTCGTGAGGTGAGAAGCCAGTGAAAGGCGCCTCGGGCTTCGTGTTCGGGGCAACCACCACAGTCACCGCAAAAGCTTAAACCCATGTCGGGCTTCGGCTTTCTAGGCATGGAATATAATGTAGAGGCCTTACAATAACTGGAATAGGAATAGGGCTTTGGGGTATGTTATACTATAACTATGATAAGGAACCCCAAAATGGTATTGGTAATTATTTAAGCTTCTATATTCCCCTAAAGCCTAAGCCCTGCTTCTTGACGGTTCCAGGACTAGGGCTTTTGGGTCGGGGCCTCGTGCCCATCAGTGCTGAAGAACCAAAGGCACTTAGAGAGACCTGTTCACCTGCGACGGGCCTAGGCAATAGAGTGGGTCTCGTGCAAGATGCTGGGGTTCAGGAGGTTTAGAATTATTTAGGGTTTGGCGTTTCATCTTGGGTGTAGCTCAAGTCGAACAAAACCGAACACCCAAACAATGATAGAACATAGAAACAAACATAGCACACACCACTGTTCCAAAAAACACGAAATGCTGGAGCGCCTGATGTCTGTGCGTCCTACACCCTGGATATTCTGGGCCAACAACTGCAAACTACGAACTCCTTCGCCGAAAAGGAAATCATAATCAGGGGAAAATCGACATGGGTTGAAGGAAACTTTGTGGGTACCCACCCGAACTACTCAAAGGCCTGCAAACCCTAATAGCCCGACATCCTAGAGACAACCCTGGACACCCTTAGCCCAAAACGGTTTGGATTATAGGGTTTACTGTACATGGGGTATAGGGTTCAGGGTTTCTGCAATGCCCAAGAAAACAAACAGGCTCAACATAACCCAAAAGCCTGACATAGTTTCTACAAGGGATCTGTAAGGGTTCTGCAAGATTCCTACGGTTGCTCTTGTGTGGGTGTCCAAGCCTGTCCCTTGTAGAACCTCTAGAAGAACTCCNNCCCCCCCCCCCCCCCCCCCCTATAGAAACCGTGGAATCCTTTGCCGAAGCCCTAAGAGCGCCGCCTGCTGCTCCTGGGCTTCGAGGTTACACGCGCGCTCACGAATCATGACCTGAAGGCCCAGGGCAGCCGAACCCAAGCACCCGAAGGCCATGAGGACACAAGGGTTTCTACAAGGGTTCCTATGAAGTTGGGTTAACTTAGGGTTTAGGGTTTA